GTTCGTTCGCCTAACTTGACTTCTTGAATGCTTACATGCGTATTCTCGCTGAACTTTTATTTATTAAATTAATAGGTATGTATTGCTGCTAGTTATTATTATTAGAAGCATGATCATTTTCGATTCTTACTAAATCTTACCACCAATTAACTTATCCTAAACATAGATCGGCTACAAAAATCTCGCGGAAACATCAGTATACTGCCTTCCTCTGAGATACTCTAATAAAAAACACCTTCATCTTAATTGATTATTTTTTTCCGAGAATTGAGTAGAAGATACTGCAATTTCAAAGGCGCAAACAATGCAAAACTGTTTTAGCAGAGGATACCACAATGGTCCTGCAAACAGAAAGAGAGAGAACTTGATGCCATTTTGATCACCAGAATCACAGTTTTATTTGTCTGAGCTTTCGGGCTCTTTCTGAAGAAGTAAAACTATAGGTCCGGTGATCGAAATACCTTCTACTTTTCTATCTACACACATACCTGGGATACGATCATTTACCTCAATTACAGAGATAACTGTATATCAGCACTGGCGATCATGTTCAATATACTCACTAGTCCAGTGTCATCTTAAAATCCATAAATGACCTAAAATCTGGAATTAAAGTGACTGACAGAGGAACAACGGCAGATTTTAATGCATGGTGCCCTGTTTGACATTGCAGGAGTGAGATCGATCCTCTTTCAGATGGAAGGGACAGATAAAATTAAGAATTGTATCTTGCCCTAGCGTCATCCCTACTTATAACTATTACCTCATAAGGGTTAAAGCGAACTCGCAAGATCTTAAGGATAAAAAAGAGCTCGTCAGCGTACCTTGAGCCAAACATTGTATTAAAAACGCATGAGAGAGGGAAGCATGCTTTTGGATAGCAAAATTACCTTTCTACGATTATTTATTCTAAAACATGCGATAATATTTAGCAGGAGGTATGATCAGCTGTTTTAAATAAGCACAGATGAATCGATTTTCAGGCGTTGGCAAACTAATAAATGCAAATATGCCCGTTCCATCAGTGTTTGTTGTCCCATGGCTCGAAATGATATTCTTCAAATGTTATAATTATCGCGCGAAGTCGTGTGTCTTATCTAAACTCAACAGACGCATTTATTTTAATCCACGGTTCGCATAAGTACGCAAGGGTTTGACCGTAAAGGAAATATAGATTGCTTTTAAATATCTTTGACCGACATCTGCGTCGAAAACTCCGAATCTATCAAAAATCTGGAAATAGAAAACGCTTTGTAGTTTGACTCATATCTGCAGCTCTTGTTGAATAGCCGTATATCAGCTTCTTCGGTAATATGTGGCTTTAATTCTAAAACCGATTCCACTAAGTTCCCTTGTCCATAACTGCACAGTCATGCAGTATCCATTCTATAATAGTTTGAGTATTAGTCTTTATTTTGCCCTCATGTGTGTCTTAGACTTTCTGCTAAGACATCTGCTAGCTGCTTTAATTTTTATAAGCACGCCTTGATTTTCATCAAGTATATTCAAATAGTATGCTATGTGGGTGAAACCTGAGCGTCTTTCATAAATTCCTCATCTTTTACATAAAGAAAGTGGATAAAAAGTACACTTATTTAAATAATTTAACCAAACCAGCATCAAATTACCTGTCATTTTTGATTTTCGAAATAAAAACTACAAACGAATGAAAGTTTTCGTATGGATTATCTAGAGAAATGTTCCAAGCTGATAAAGGTGTGCAAGAGTCAGCATACGATAAAATGTTTTTGAAATCCAAGCGGAGTTGCAAGGGAAATGTGCTCTTCCACCGAGGATTTACTATTACAGTACCTGCTATTACTTTGACCTACACAAGATTTCTAGACTTAAGTGAGGTCGCTGGTGGTATCTTGATTTTCGAACTGTACGTTAATTGTCCATATTTATGCATGACCTTCGCAACAGGCAAAACACATTTTGTTGGGTTTATCAACCACAGTCTTACTCACGAATGACCGAATATTTGACCATTATTAGTTAATGGGAACCAGAACACAGACAAATGCCACACACTGACATTTATTTGTGCATCCGCGGCGAGATTCCGGATGCGAAAATGAAATTGTTGAAGAAACCTGTATGACTGCAAACGGACGTCAATTTGCAGCTCTCAGATGCCGTCTTCATTTTTATGCCTAATAGGGGGATGACGTTAATAGAATATGGGACGGAAATTCAGCCTGTTTTCTGTCAAACGTCAATAACAAGCTGCCTGTTCACTGTTTGATAAGAAACCAATTACATCGCCACACCTAGAATCTTATAAAGGAATATTACACATAACAAATGCAGTCTTTTCCAACGGCCCAGTGAGCCTGCTAAATGAGTCATCAGTTTCGGCCGCTAGCCACTAGCTCCAAGAACTCAAAAATAGATCTCAATTAACTTGAATTCAGCAGTAAATGGGTACTACATTGAAGGGAAAAAATGCTGACACCTCTATCTGGCCTCTTTTAGCTGCCTGTTGAGACCCAAATTGTCGGCTACTGGCGACTCTGTTCAAAGTGGCAAATAGGCGCTCACCGATCAGTTACAGGACTCACTCATTCCTGTTTATGCCTTTTGGGCTCACTTGCGAACCGAGCTGGCGGCCCTGCAGCGGCTAATAATATAGGCAGAATGACATTAATGACAATAAAAAGTGCGCCTGCAATGGCCAATTCAGGCCCATTTGCCGTCATCAGGACTAGTGAGTCCTGTAACTGATCTTTGAACACCTATCTGCTATATGCTTATTCCCTATCAAAAATGTCAAGGCAACCATCCCGTGACGCAGTGGTTAGAGTGTCGGACTTCTAACTAACAAGGTGGCGGACTCAAATCTAGGGTGGTATATGACTGGCGATGACGAGAAATGAGCTGCCTTTGCCTTTGTCGGTAATGTCATTCTACCCTGTCTTAAGTGTGTCAAAAACATGTTTTACTGCTCAGGCTGATTGGCATAGTGAGCATATTTTTCATAGATAAGTATCTTTCAATCACAAATTTTGTGCATACCATGCTTACTTCAGCCTATCTGTTTTGTTTTTCTGGTCCTTGACTCGCAAACAAATAATTGTATTTGAATTAAGTCTGCAAATCCTCAACTGGACTTCAAAGAATGTCATGATCTCAAGAACGTATATATTTAGATATAAGTGTCGTTCACGCTAGTTAATCTGACTGAATATATGACAGAACATTTAGAAAATCCAAATTATTTTACCCAGCTTTTTAGTAAGTACAATACTAAAACAGGATTTGCAGTGATTTTTCATAAAGCACCTCTGCACTTATGCAGAAATCCAAAATGTAAAGCCACTTTGTGGATCATTCACTTATTGGCGTTCAACAGTGTGATCATAGGGCAACCGGCAGATAAGTAAGCCTTTTAACCTAGTGAAATTAACTACACAACAATAATTAATACAATCGATAGTGTATACATATTTTGGGGGTTTTCCGTTGCTAAGTCTTATCTGAATCATTAATTCGCTGTGACAGAACGATGTATGATCGATAAATACATACAAAATGAGCTAATTACAATCATTTGCAACAATACTGATATTCTCTTCTGAGTTGGTATTATTTTGTTCCCCCAAAAATCCAACGATTCAGTTTAGAGCGTGCAATGGCATAAGCGACAGCTCCACAGCAGCTCAGTATTAGAAAGTTGGCTGCTCAAGACTTTTCCCTGCTGTGTGGTTTTGATTGCCACCGAAGCCGCGCATATTTCGCAATTGGGTCAAGAGACTTAAGCAAATCTGCCAAACGCCTCTAGCAAGTAAGTGAGCCTTATAGCCATTCTGGTGGATTCTAGATGACTGCTCAGGAAATCCTATCTGGGCAATCAGCTTGCTGTTTCGTAAGGGTGGATTCCGTATGAGCAGTGAGTAAGACGGCTAAAATCGGTCCGAGTGTAATTATATTCATGGCTAACGGTAAGCCTCGTATCTTAATGGTAGGACGTTGGCTGCGCAAAAGCCTTCCTTACCGTGTGGGTTGGACTCCTACCGAGGCTGCCAATTTTTTTACATTTGGTGTCAAGTAAATTGAGCAAATACGTCAAACCCCTAAGGAACAGTCATTTGTCGGATAGTTTTGCTAAAGAAGTAAAGTCATTGTCATTCATTATTATTCATCTATGAACTGCCGAGAGGAAACCTTATCAAAAATCGCCATCTAGGACAAACATCAATGTATACAGTTTAGCTTTGTTTAAAATACCCGGTCTAAGACACATTTCATTGCCTACATCGTTAACGAATATCAGCAAAGTGAAATGTTTCCATCATTTAAATGCTCACCACTTCACTGCTCCGCGTGTTATAGGACATTATTTGTTTGCGTTCAAATACCGCAGATTCACAGCATGTTCGCTTATCTTTTCTAGCAATATGAAAGCTAAGAGTTTTCATGCATTTGGCTATCATTTTCCAAATCTACTTAGACTTACTACAACATATTCCTGTGTGCGCGAATTTAACTTCCCAATAGGACTGCTGTTCGGTGAATAATTAGAAAAAAAGATTGTACATATTTTTCTTTTTTACTATTTTACTACCATTTACGCAAGCAAAACGGCTTTTTAACTTTCATTAACAAAGTTAATAAAAATAACGAAGCCACCCGTAGAAAGTATCTTCTTGCGCGGGTTAAACCTTTTGCCCATTTTAAGTTAGCATTGGGCAGCACGGCAAACCCACTGACGTGCTGACAGTTATCCTGCCTTACTTTAAGTAAATATTTAAAACAACTATCTCTTAAAGTTATAATAAAATAAAAACAACAAAAAACATGGTCATTAGTCACCAAATGAAGTGTTCAGTCAGATCTGCTTGGTGTTCAACACAACGTGTCTTCTGCCTCAAACATATTTTTAGTTAAAACGAAATGGAATAAAAACGCAATTGTCAGGAACGTCTTGCGTAGGGAATGGGACAAGTAATTTTCAAAGAACATGCGCGTTTATAATCAGTTCTGCTTGGTTGCACGCGCTAGGAACTGGCAAAAACGAGAATTTTATCAGTATTACTCGCCGTAGCCGGTGGCACAGATGAGAGTGTACATTTCATAGGCACACTTCCAATTTCGTCCTTGGGTCGGACACCGTCTATGGGCGAAAACGTCTGTAGATCCGATGGTACCGTATGGTCCTTTGAGGTGGACGCAAATGAACGGTGAAGAAGTCGATTTATTCGGCTGAGCATCTTCCCTTTATGACCATGGTGCTCAATGTGTTCATCTTCATCTGATTGAGAAACGTTGCCTGCATGCTGAGCGTGCGATACGGCTCTTTTCTGAAACGCAACTCTTTTTTGGTTGGTTCGACGTCCCGAAAGCTGCTCTTTGCACGGAAGCTGAGCAGGACTCGATTGTCCTGACGTACGTTCATCTGGGTTCAGATTGTCCAACGAATTGCAGGCTTTCTGTTTGTCTTGCGTCTTTTGCATCAAATGTTCCAGATGAGCTTCGATGGCCTTTCCGAGAGCGCTGGCATCCTGTTCGGCGCCATAAACCTCACAGGTCCGTCCGCCTTCATCGTACTCAATCTCCCGAAATTTGGAATGCGATTTTTTCTTCTGATGATGCCTTTGATGGCACGTTGGTGCATTGCTCGACACCAGTGCCTCAGGTTCCTCTTGCATTTCACCTAGGAATGTTCGTACGGACTTCGATTTATCTTCCACACATGTGTATTGCTTTTTGATGCACTTTTGTATGTAGGCGTCATCTGAAAAAGACTTCGGCCGCGAGGAGGCGACTGAACTAGGAGTCGTCTCGATACGGGATAGGCACTTGTTATCGCAGACCGACACCGACCTCATCGCACGTTTACCTTCACAAGGTCCACTGGCTAATGATGTTATAGAAAATTGGTCACTTTGGGTATGGGAATGGCATTTGCGTGATGCACATGCTCGGATCTTGTGAATCGGAGAATTCCCACAGATTGCGCCAGACATCTGTTTACGCACTGAGTCAGTGGGATCATTTATTGACTTGCTGGTCTTTCGTAGGACTGACTGATGGAAGGGCTGGACGGTCGTGCTGGGCCTTGGAGACGTGGTTCCCAGATCTCCGAAGTACAGATCACAGACTGTGTCACGTGGCAAAGCACGGGATAAGTCATTTGAGAGAGCGGCACTTTCAAGTACGTGGATGTATAGTTGACGACGAAAATTCCGGAGTTTTGCCATTACGGCACTGGATGCAGTGGTGTTAGGCTGATATTTGCAGCTGCCTACTACATCTTCGGAGGTTTCATCGACCGAAGCCTGCCTGTAAAGCCTTCTAGAAGCATTCTGTTGAAGAATTTGTTCACCGGCAGCCAGAGACAAGCAGCGTCGTTGAATTGAGCAACGTTTGCCACTGCTGACATAGCGAGATTCTGGTTCGTTTTCCTCGAAGTTGCGCTGAGACTGTACTTTTGAGTGCATGTTCTCAAAATGAACTGTATTCAACTTGGTAGGATTTTCTTCTCCAAAACTATAGGAATTTTGTCTGGATGTGTTCGCATGTGCGTGCATGATGGCCAAATGCTTCAGAGTGGGGGTGAAAATATTTCTATACACAAGAACGTGTCATCTGCCAGCCAATCAGGAGTGAAGAAGGCATCCAATCAGCGGACACAAAAATCGTCCTAGAGGATTGGGCTCTAGAGCCATCGGAAATGACGAATAAAAGTGATGTGAAAAAGTGCCTCTGCTCTTACCCCATTTTTAAATATTTGGGATGTGTTGACTAAATGTGGGTAAGAGGAGAACCGTTTTCGTGCATATTAAATCGCACTTCATTGGTATCTTAGCTGTCGCATAAAGTTTTCCAGATGTAACACGGAAGCCTTTTTTATACACAAATGCGCACAATAACTCATCAACGTAGATATAGTTTACGGTTGGCATTACTAGTTGTTAGCAGTTCAAATTGATTGTTGCT